TCTCGACGCGGAGTGTGCCTTTAAGCTTGCGTAGCTTTGCAATATTGAATAGAACTAGGCGCAACACGACAGTTTGGCCGCTGTCCGCAATTACACCAGCTACTGGTGGTATTTTTACAGGGTGTTCTGCATTTTCTTCCGCAAAACCGGTTTCTTGTTTCTTTCCCCCCTACCAAAGAAATCGTTGGTTCTCGTCATATCCAGATACTCTTAGACGTGGTCTTTCATATGTATTCCTCCATTGTTGAATTCAATTGATTTTTCTGGTTGTGTTGTGAAATTCCTACGCTTTAAACTCTCCGTCAAGTCAGCAGCGAGAAAGATGAGCATTGTGTACGCGATTAATAGAGTTATTCCATTATGACAAGCAGCGTCCCATGCCCGACAATTCGTAGGAATAAAATATAGCTCCTGGCAAAGCTTTGGTCCAAATCATAGAATCGCAAACTCGCAAGAGTTACAAGCCATTGAACGCTTTCTTACCTGCCCTGCTATTAACTTATGCTATTAACTAAAGGTTCATTTAAAAATGAAGTGGCTGATCCCGCTAGAACTGTTCACCGAGAGATTCCCAACGAAGCAGAGAATTGCATCGTTGTGAGAATCTCGGTCGGGGGGGGGGGGTCGTAATCGCCTCCAAGGGAATTGTTTTGGGCGTTGTTAAGTTTTTTTTTCAAATTGTACGGTTTCTCTGTATCGGTACCCCCCCTCTTTGTGCACCTGCTGGCGCCTCAGAACGACGAACTAGTTTTATTTATGGTAGATGAGATTACAAGAGATTACAGGGAGATTCCAGAGGCCGTGAGTTCGTACAATACGTGGAAACTGGGGAAATTAGGAAATGTTTGAAAAAGTGATCAGAATAGCGATGAAGGGTCGTACCAGATGAGGAAAACTGGGAATAAGGGGGGGGGGTGGTTATTCTGACATCTTTCTGACATCTTGGTGCTGCACTCAAGCGTAAGCATCTTCCAGAACTGTGAAATGGATGGTGTCCACGCGGCCCTATGTGACGTTCTTCGTCTATATCCTAATGAAACTAATCGCGGCGTTAGAGTTGAGAATGACTTCGAAGATGTATGATTTTCCGTGTGAAATTTCTCTAGTTTTGCATGGAATCGGAAGGTCATGCTCGTCATAGTTGATGTTGGCGAATTCAGGTTTTAGTTTTTTGCATTAATCGATGTTCATGTACAAGTGCATTTTCACAAGGACATCCTCACCGCCGACGTTATTGCTGTCGCATTTTCCAAAGAATAGTAGCGTAAAGCTTAAAGCTTCGATTATGAGCGCCCATGCGCCAAAACTACGAGTTGCAGTTTTCGTCTTCTGTTTTGAAAGCATACCTAAGCCCTCTGCGAACCGTTACACAACTGGAGCGCCTCTTTGCTCGCATACTACTCTCAGCCTGAAGCAGAATCTCAGTTGAGATAGAGAACCTTGCTGTTCAACGAGAACGTTACTCGTTCGCTGTGTAAGCGGGTAGCGCGCGCTCGTTTGGCGCAGCAGCCAACCGTCTTTTTTTTCGTTTTTCGACAAGCAAGTAAAGAACGATATCTTTGCGTCAGTCGTTTTCTATCACGGTTGGTTTCCCTCCTCCAGTGATGCTGAAAAGGGGGCTGCGTAAGCGTGACCCAACATATAGGCCGCGCGACACGCCCCATCATCCGCCGCGCAAGGCCCAACTGACTTAGATACCGGTGGGCTGGCCAAAATAGGGCGACGGGCCTCTTGATGTGACGGATATAATTAGCGCCTTCAGTCCGCTTCTTTCTGAGCTTGGATTATCGAAATTTTCCCTCTTATTAAACAGCTGTGTGTTTCTACTGCTTGAACTAAGAAGCTTCCGAGAGGAAGAATTAACTTAGATTGGAATTTATGCTTTTTGCAAAGGTATACATTACCGGGGATCAAGCGAAACAAGCGGTTATCAGCTTCTTACGCTAGTGATCATGAATCAAACATTAAGCACACCTTGAACACGATAGCGAGAACGTTTCACCTTGTAAAACGTGCTCCCGTCTAGATATCTACGAGCAGCCCACAAAATTGGGGAAACACCTGTCATACATCGAAAGCCTTGCCCCTGTGCCACGCCCACCGCGTATCTAAGTGCAGCACCCGCCGCGAAGCTAGACTGAAAACCATGCCGCGTGCTCAAAATTCTCTTTATTCTGCAAATAGTCACCATCTGTTCCATAAGATCATGGATGTCCTTCTCTCTCTCTACTTGTTTTGGTTCCAATATTTTCATATTTATCCTGCTTTAAGTGATAGTTGATGAGTACAGGGGCCAGTTGCTTACGGTTCAGTGCTAGCGCGAGCTAGATGAATGTTCGTATGCCCCCTTTTTCCTGTGCCTCATTCATCTCTGCTTTCAGCATTCCCTCCTTTGCTTCTACATTATACTCATAGGTTTATGCCTATGTGTGTGTATTATATGAACTTACATATCGGTGTACTTTTAAACTGTAACAAATAAATTCTAAATGAAAGTGAATTTCAGCTAATGGCTGATCAGTCAGCCGATGCGGGCGACTCTCCTTTGAAACAGATCGCCACAAAGTATTTTCTGTCATGTACTGCTGCTCTTGTCGCCGAAACGGTCACGTATCCTCTCGATATAACCAAAACTCGGCTTCAGATAACTCGAAATAAACACACTAAAGGAGGTGATTCTTCTACTTACTACTAGTTAATATTCATGCTCCGGCAGCACAATTCAACCTTTGCTGGCTCACTCCTCAAATGTTAGGCTACAATTCTGTTGTGATTTTTCATACAACCGCGTTAAGACTTCGTGATCAGATCGCTCGAGCGTTTGGATCTCGCAATACAGTCGCTCGGGGATCGCGAAGTATGAACTCGGTCTATCAGTTGGTATGATCGAAACTTTGTCCCCGCAGGTGTTCTGACTCCCTGCCCCTCAAATATCGCATACACTTGGAGTTAAAGGCAATTCCCGCGACCACACTTCATAGGTAATACAGTTCAAAAATAGAATTGCCCTGTGATTGTTGACTTATTGAAGAGAAGGAACCACGAAAAAGCGCCCGCAATAAGACCCTCTTTTTCAATTGATCATGATCACCGGACGAGCGTAAGGTGGTCAAGATCAATTGTGGATTGCAAAAGGCGGCGATACACTGAGACGAGAGAGGCCAGAAAATGACGGGCGAGAGAGCGCAATGGCAATGTCACAACGACACGGTCACCGGAGGCCGGCATGGGCCTATCGGGCGCCAATGGGCCTAAAACATGAGCGCCGTGCGTTCTGCTTGCTGTTTTTCAACTTTTAAAAGCAGCATATCCTCTACTGTTGCCTGCTTGATCATCATGCACGTTTATGAGGTTCTAGCCTTAGTTTATCGCGGAACGTGCCTTTGAGACATCTGGCGTCGGCGCCCGAAACGCCGGCACTATTGCCACCAGCACCTGTAGCGCATAAACTAGGTGTTCCTGTGCCAAGCGATGTTACATTCTGGTCAAGCACTCCGGGCAAGTTTTCTGCAGATTTGGTGTTTTTTAAGTGTTTTGGTGCGGCTTACAGTCAGTTTCGAGCCAAGTATGCGGTATTCGTGGTCAAGGCGTCGAACCACTTCAGGGGACGGATTTTCACACAACTCTTCCCCGAAGGGTAATATCCATTGAAATCCAGCCGAATGTCGAAGAGTGGGGTAAACTTCCTGAACCCTTCTTTTATTAGACCTATTTGCTCATGCTGCTAGTGATCTGTTATGTTCAGGTATGTTCCGGGTTACCTATGATATTGTTCGAAGAGAAGGTGCCTTAAGCCTGTGGACAGGAGTTGGACCAGCTATCACTCGTCATTACATCTATACAGGAATACGTATGGGAGCGTATGAGTCCCTTAGGGGTATGGTTTTCCAGAAAAACGTAGGTTTTCCACGTGATAAGTATGTACAGTTTTCATCTTCTTTGGATTGCTTTCAGGTGAGAAAACATTTCGGTTGGAAATCACTGCTTTGCCGGGGTGCGACACTCGGTCCTGTGTGCTCAAGTCCAGCTGGCTAAGTCAACGATCTGTGTAAAGGTTAAGTGGCTTAAAGGAAAAAGATAGGGATAAAGGATAAAGTCTTCGCCGTTGATCAATCCCTTTGTGGGATGCGGCACGCATTCTACTTCCATTCAGAATCGTAGTGGCTTATTGAATGCGATGTGGCCTATACAATGACTTGCGGGGCCAGCCGATGTACAAGTCAGTGTTCTTATCCTCCCAGACGATACTGGTACCAATTCGTCGCCCAAAAGTAGAAAGCTTGGTTGGCCTGGGTAGGGGCTGATTCGGGATTTGACCGCAGGACCGCGTAAGCGTATCACTTGCCACTGCATTAGGCAGCGTTCAGACTTCGCGACGGCAGCGCTTCGGTCGCGCGTTCGACGCGATCGATGCAGTCGAAAGCATGCGCATCGATCGTCGAATCGCGCGACCGAAGCGCTGCCGTCGCGAAGTCTGAACGCTGCCTTACATCCGCCTGTAGGTGACAGTTTATGGAATTTGTTTCACTTTTTTTGGCTGTTCATCTTAATTCACAAACGTTCACAAACGTTTGGTGTGAAATAGTTAAGAAAGGATCTGCTGAACCTTTGGCGCTGTCACTGTCAATATCAGCGAATGCGAAATAAAGTAAAATGTATACCCGTTTATGTAAAGCAGCTGCAAGTCAGGGCGATCGCTTTAGGTACGATTCGGGCGCTGGTGGTACAGAGACAAGCGCCACGGCTTACTACATACGCGGTTCAGGGCTCCCTGGAAGACTCCTCCCTTATCCAACCAAACATTCCTTCAGGGCGGCTGGCAAATTGGTTTCGGACGCGCTAAGGATAAAACCGCTGATTTGTAGTACATCGATTGGTCTTCAATTAATTTTATTAGCCATATCGCATTTATGATTCCACTAATGTGTGAGAGTAACGTTATGATTCCTGCGAACGATAGGGCGTGTGACTGGTGCATGGCTTGAAGCGTCACCAGACCAGTTGTAGCAGGTTCAGCACGGCATCACTGATGGCAAAAGGGCGCCCTGACCACGCCCAATCCCCGCCCTGTCACACGCCCTATCGTTTGCTGCCATCATGACTGTAGAATGCGTGACACACCCCAGAAAGGGGTTTGTTGACGACGAGATCTTTTCCTTTCCTTCAGGTACAAATGCAGATGGAGGGTCTTCGCAGACTCCAACAACTCCCTTTACGATACAGTGGAGCATGGCATTGCTTTGTTTCACTTTACAGAACTCAAGGTCGGAAATATCACTATCACATTCTCTTTACTGCTCGATATTCCATGAAATCAGTGCAGTCACAGCGGGTTCCGTTCAGAAAAGTTGTTCAGGTTTCTTTGGCCTGTGGTTAGGCTGGATTCCAAACTGCCAACGTGCTGCCCTCTTGAATATGGCCGATATTGCAACTTATGATTTCGTTAAACATAAACTTCCTAGGAGATTTTGCGCTACGGGTATGTGAGTTTTCTTGGGTTGAGGTGCTCGTTTTTATTTTTGCTTTATGAAGGACAACTGGGTAACCCATGCTCTGGCAAGTGCATGCGCAGGACTATCCGCTGCTGTTGTTTCACTTCCTTCGGATGTGGTGAAAACAAGAATGATGGACCAAATAAGGCATGAACTGGATAGGAAGATGTACGTTTGTGCTAAAAAAATAAGTTCGGCAGCAAATTTATTACAATAGCTGAATTGCAGGGCTCATGTGCAGAGCAAGCATGTACAGCTTTACAATGGATGCATAGACTGTTTCGTGAAAATAGTACGGCAAGAAGGATTTTTCTCGTTATACAAAGGATTTTTGCCTAGTTACATACGGATGGCACCTTGGTCGCTCACGTTTTGGGTATCCTACGAGGAAATCCGCAAATTCGTTGGAGCTCCTAGTTTTTAGGCTCTTTAGTTTTTAACTACAGTTTCATTTCTTATTTTGTTATTGTTCGAATAGATCTTGTTAGCTACATGTTGTCATTTTATTACTTGTCATCGCCATAGTCGTGCTATCAACTGAAAATCCGCTCAAAAGTTAGTCTTCTAATGTTGTGACATTAAAATCAATGCTGAAGTCGGAAATCTCCCTCTCCGCATGCATTCCACTTTTCGCTTGCGATGTTTCGTTCAGGTCACATTCATACTTCGCAATGCTACTGCGCCATCTAAGCGACAGTATAGAGAAGTATAAACGCGCTGTCGCAGATAGCGAACAGATAGCTGGCAGCGTTCATACTTTGCGTCAGTGTTTTGGGCGTATGGCAGCGTTTTGAGCGATTAGGAATGTATAGGTATTAAGCTAGCGTACAGCAACGTTTTGAGCGAGTAGGAAAGTATAGATATCAATCTAGCTTTTTGAGCGTCTCGCGGATAATTTTAGTTTTCCGCGGCGGTTGCTTAAAACGATGACGTACGCACAAAACGCTAGATGGATACCTTTACTTTCCTAGTTGTCCAAAAGGCCGCTGTACGCTGGCGTAATCCTATACTTGCTAGTGCCTCAAGGCGACTTACGCTCGAAACGCTCAGAACGTTGACCAAAAGTACGCAGCCTTGATGATCTGTGTTTCCTCTTCTTTTTTCGAATCCTCTTCTTGTTCCGACTTCTCTAGGATACGGGGGAAAGCGATAAGGTGGGTTAATCATATCGGAAATCGCCATCACGTTGCGCTTCGTATCCTTCTAACAGCGCTATCGCAATTGATCATGGCTGAGTTTACATTATTTGCTATGCATCCATTGGCTGCGTATTCTTCCTTTCCTACTCCTTCGCTTAATCGATGGAAAATTGTATTTGTGAAAAGTTAAGGAAAACCGGGTGTCTGGGATGTTTTCTGTAGTAACACGAAGGGATTTTGGCTATAATGAAGCTCACTAAATGTTCGACTGAGGCTGCATGTTATGCAGCACCATAGTAAATGCTACTAATGTTTTTCAAAGAGCTCAAACTATTCCTCGTGAACGTCTGAAAGTTTCGGTGTGGGCTGAGCCTCCTTCAATGCGAAAGTTTTTGCGGGCTGATTTTTGACTTCAAGCATTTCTTTCATTTTTCAGCTCCATTTACATCTAGTCATTCTTTGAAGTGATTTTTTTGAGAGTCTCAAATATGTGCAATTTCAATGTTCGTAGGTGACTGTTTTTTAATGTCTGTGAGGACTGTGGCATTGTACCAGTGTGATACTCATTGTCGTAAGTAGGAATTTCGGGCAACTTCGAAGGTGATCCGATTCTGTCTCAGTTTTAGGGTAGCTAGGTATAATAATATGATTGCAGAGATTACTCAGGATTACTTACTTGTATTTTGAAATATGTTGGCATTTTTAGGTTGTATATTTGATGTTGTAGCCAAAATTATCACAGTTTTATTCGTTGATATCCAGTAAAGAGATGATACTTGTTTGAGTTGTACGGTACCTGTGTATGACTCCAGATGTTTCATATCTATAGTAATCTCCCGGATCATTTAACGGTATTTGAGTTAACGAGAAAATCTTGTTTGTTGAAAGGTTCAGCACTATTCCAGGCTCAAAAAACTCAAAAAAATATTTTTTCTGCCGGGTCCGCAGGTTATTCACTGCTCTGATTTACTTTATGTATCACTTTAGTTTTTGACGCCTGCACCATTGGGCCTCAACACCTGTCACCAATCGATGGAAACTTATGTGCGGAGGTTATTTGACATGCTGATCGCGAAAATGACATTAATCCTTGTTGCGTTGTGCTCAGTGTCGTGAACTATAAACGTATAAGCCTAATGGCGATCTTATTTCCTCATTTCTTCAATTCTTCTGAGACAATATACAGAACTCGGATTAACTTAATATAATATCTGTATCGCCAAAGTTCCTGAGTTTTAGAGGATTTTTCGGAGTCCTGTATAGAATTTCTCCTCGGATGGGGCTTGGCTTGTCGACCCCGCCTACTAGAGTTTAGACCGCGTTCAGACGTCGCGCATCACGCGGCAACGATCGGGGCCGCTCAGCCTCGGCATGCCTGGCGCCGCGCAACGGCAGGATTCATGCACTGTGTGAGCGGCCCAATTCAAATTATTACATGTTATGGCGACGCACTGCTTGGCGAGGGAGGCCCCCACGGTCATAAGTGCGTGATTCGCATGATGGCGACGCTGATCGCGGTTTCTCGGAGAAATCTCCAGGCGTGACCGTATCGCGTCATTCTTTACGGTGATTGTCTCGAATCGCACATTCTCTGGAATACGTTGCATATCATCCACATTGGTGCTGTATGAAATTCATCTTAGTCCAGATCCATCATGAGGCTGGCCCTTTAACAAATATGCCAATGCTAACTGCTCTCTTTTGCTCCGCCTTCAGGATTCTGGAGTTTTATAGAATGCTCCCTCGAATTGCTCCTAGGATGGGGCTTAGCGTTTAGACCGCGTTCAGACTGGTTATCAGTCAGGGAATTTCTAAGTAAACTCGTCAAGTTGACAATCTCTACGGTCCTAATTCCTACAGTTTATCATGGCAGAGGCGTTTCCAGTCATGTCGGTCAACTGCATCTGTTAATATCATTTCCCATTCTGGATGAAAATTCTGAACTTTTCTAGAAGCCACATCTTTCATTCTACTCGCTATTTCGACAGCTTCTTCAGCTTTCAACTTGGTATTTCTTTCAGAATAAGTCAACTGGGTAACACATGATGTTGCTCTGTTGTCGTTCTTGTCATATTGGTGGAGTTCGTTTTGCATCAACTTCCAAGTTCTATGACGCTGTCATAGTGGGTGGTGGAATGGTGGGCAACGCAATGGCTTGCGCACTGGGTTCGTTTCTTTTCTTTTATTCACTTTACGCAAACTTTGGTGCAAGATGTAATAGAATTTATTGTCACAGAACGGTCTCTTATAGTCTCTTTCGCTGTGGATGATGGTTAAACAGTTGCTGGAAAGGAAGATACGAACGATATGACCCAGTTTTGTTGTTTCCTCGCTTGAACAGTGGGAAACGGGTTTGATGCTACGCCAAACCCAGTACTACTGACACGCCCCATCATCCGCTGCGAAGTAGACTATACCTCGTAGCTGCTTCATGTAGTTGCCTAGTCGTCTTTGAGCTACATTGGCGACCAACTCCCTCAGGCAAAACCATTGATTTCCTCACTTACATTGTAAACAATATGTCTGCTTATCCCAGGGTGCTGAGTTATGGGCAATAGTCGGACCCCACACTGGACTCGAACCCACTTCTCATGCTTACCGTGTGTTATCCATTACCTACCAGGGCCGCTCTTACCCTCTCAGCTCGATGGGTGTGCCGCTGCCTTTCAGCGCTCAATCGTCTAGCGTGATGAGTCACTTAGCCGATATCGGCAGTGAACCACGAGGCTAATGGTTTTTACGTTTTGAAGTTGGTTCGCGGCTCACTGCCGATATCGGCTAAGCGACTCACCACGTTAAACGTGGAGGGCACTGGCACGAGCTGGGCAGAAATACCTCATAACTGACGGGCAGAAAGGTCAAACACGGTCAGCCTGGCCATTTGCAATGAGGTGCACATCTTCGTACTCGCCTTGAGACGGGCAAACTCAACATTATCTTTAAAATTTGCGGAACGATTCTCTGAGCGAAGATATGGAAGTTTTTCTTTATTGTTTTTCTTCCGGACGCGCGCCAAGCGTTGGCACCAGTAGCGCGACTCATGGCGCTTTCCGCGCAAAACAGGTATCATATTCGTGTTCAGGGGTCAAATAACCCCTAAGACGGCACGTTAGCGAAATCTGAGTTTCTGACTCAGCTTCGAAAAAATGGGGTAAGGTTAGTCATGGCTGACTGGTAGCCAACAGCGATACTGCGACTAGCATACTGGTGATGACTGGTCTTTGAGCTGAAATAACTCTTCAATCATGCCTTCTCGCAAAGAACAATACCTGGCTCGTGCCGTCTGCATCATTTTCCTGATTACCAGGAGAAAATTCCATCCCGTAATTACCCATAGACTAGCCTACATATCGCAAGTGAGGTCGAAACAGATTTGGCTAGAAACTTGTCCCAGGGGTAATTTGACCCGCTGAACATGAATATCATGGTATTTCATTGCAAAAACCCTTGTGACATGTGTTACGAGGGGGACAAGCACAAGGACTCTTTCAGGCCACAATGGGTCTACACATCTGAAAAA